AATAAACGACTTTATCAATCGATGCGACATTAAATTCAACCATGAAAAATTAAATAAAAAAAGGTCAACATTCGAAAATGTACCATAAAATCAAAGGAAAATTTGTCATAAAAGCAAAAGAAAATGCTATACAAAGAAAAAATTTATTAGAAACTTGAAAAACAAAAAATAATAAATTCATGATATAAAAAATAATGAAAAACAAAAAATTATAAACAATCGATAATTAACACCAAGATTAATGTCATTGTTGTCAAACAAAATGATAAAAAAAGAGAAACAATGAGCTTTAAGATTCATATAGAAAAAAAATGTTAAAAAAATGTTATTTATGATCGAAACTGAGTCAATGTTTTAATTTGAGAGAATATATAAACTTTTAAAAGTTAGAGAATAATTAATAATTATCTAGTTTTTTTAGTTTTTTATATAAATTAAAAATAATTTTATGGGGTTGGGGCACCTTAACATTCCACTTATAAAATACATCTCACTAGTTTGTAAGGTATTTAATTATGATAATTAGGATCAATAATCTTTAAAATAAATGATTAAAAGTTTTAGGTTAGTAATTTTTTTTATAAATTATAGGTTTAATGTCTATCAACTCGGAAAATTTTAGAGATAAAAATAAATTATTGATTTTAAATATAAAAAATATATACTAATTTAATATTTTATATAATGCTAAAAAACATATATCATGATTGAATAGTTACAAAATTATATAATACTAAAAAACTTAGGCAACTCGATCGGGTTCCCTTTACATATGACCACGGTTTGAAATGAAATGGCATATTCGTTAATAACTGATATGTTAAGGCCAAATTTTTAAACTCAACAAATTCTTCACTCAACCGCCAAAACAGAATTAGAGTACACATTACACACTTCCCCCTCCCCGCCCAGGCGCCCAATATGCTTTCTGGTTCTTTCATCGCCTAATATTTCTCCCTAGCTCATCCCCTTTAGGCGTACTTATAATATATAGCCGAGAGCTCCCAATCTATCGCCCTCCTTTTTGCTTCATTTTTGTCTCGCCCCATTCTCTGTAGCAGTCAGTTTTGCAATCCTCCCCAAACGTCGAACGAAGAGCTCTCAAAGGTATATTTCTCTCCCTCTAAATGACAATGTTATTCATTTCTTTCTTTAATATCGTATGCTGATGTTTTATTTTCTTTAGGATGTCACCTTCTTTCATATCGATGCGAGACATTATTGCAGTTACAAAGGAATCAGGGGCGGTTCCTCTGCCTTCTCCGACTCCGTTTTCCAGGGACGGTGAGAAAGAACTAGAAGCTTTTTCGGGAAAAGAGATGGAACCAGCCGATTCTTTGTTCTATCTTCAACAGAAGGAAGAACGCAGAACGCCGATCGCGGAACAGCTTTTGGAGACTCTGGAGAAAGAAAGTGACGAAGCGAGCGAGAAATCATCTGATTTCAGCGCGTTGCAGGGGTTCAAGTCTGCTTGGTATTCTCTACCATCAGCAGAGAAAAAGAATTTCAAAGAAGATGAAGTTTCTGAATGTTTTGAGGAACCTTTGTTAGGTTCTTTAGAAACCGACGACGTAAAATCAACTCATAACGGAGAGGCACCTCTTGAATCAAGAGAGGGAGAAAATCCAAGTATACCGAAAGAGAAATGTCAAGACTCCATCGGAAAAGGAGAGTCATATAAATCGCAGGAAGAAAATGAATCGACTGAAAAATTGGAAAAGCTAAATAAGATGGTGAGAGTGCATAGCTACGAGAAAATCGTTGATGATGCCAGCGTGGCTCATATACCCTTGAAGTCGTGTGCTAGCATAGGCACAAATTTTGAGAACTTTGAACCGAATAGTATATACTCTGCAATTAAATTGAACAATACAGAAAATACTGCGATGATGGAAGAAGCGTGGGAGACACTCAAGAAATCTTACGTATATTACAAAGGCCTGCCTGTTGGAACCCTTGCGGCTATGGATCCTACTGCCGAGGCTTTGAATTACAATCAGGTATAATTTGTTTAGTTCTTCGTTATCGTTTTTGTTTCTTCAAATTCAGTACCTCCCTTATTTTGTTATGGTACTATTCTTTCTTTTGTTTGAAAATGAAAATTTCTCTTAGACGGTTAGTTTATGCGCCACACCTTTCTTTAGTAGGCTAATTAGGAATTATTGTGTATGTTCAGATTTTTTTTACTTACTGCAATCTAGTCTTTCTAAATTCTATAGCATTTTGAGATATTTTCTGCTTGTTGAATGATGTTAATGAAGATCTTAATTTGGTATTTATGAGAACCATTAATCTAATTCTTAGCCATAATGTTTTCTAAGTCGATCTATGATTACACTTGTTACGTTACTTGCGATGAAAGTAGGCACGTCATGATCAGTCCTCCATGTAACTGCAAATTTGTGGGTAAAGGTAATGCAGGGAACTGGAGTTATATTGTTGTCTTTACTATTTTTAGTTGAAACTTATTTTAGTATCATGAATCGTTACGTTTTTCTAATTTATTTTAAGACAAATGTTGAAGGTATTTTCCCATACATGTGATGTGAAAGTTGACACTTGTTGTAGATGCCAATACCGAGAGGAGTTGGTAAATATTTAATGTCTATTTTACTTTGATAGATAGAACGATTTAAAAGATGTTGAATTCCTTATCTCATAATTGCCAATTACATGGAACCAATAGGATTGCACAATTCTTATCTTGCAGGTTTTTGTAAGAGACTTTGTTCCCAGCGGCTTAGCCTGTCTAATGAGGCCAGCCAGTGCTGGTGGCGATCCAGAGATAGTAAAGAATTTCCTGTTAAAGACTCTCCACCTCCAAGGTTGGGAGAAAAGGATAGACAACTTTACACTTGGAGAAGGTGTCATGCCTGCCAGTTTCAAAGTTCTTTATGATTCGCATAGGCAGAGGGAAACCTTGGTTGCAGATTTTGGTGGCAGTGCCATAGGGAGGGTTGCTCCTGTTGACTCTGGGTTCTGGTGGATCATTCTGCTAAGATCATATACCAAGTGCACGCATGATTATACACTTTCAGAAAAACCTGAGGTGCAGAGAGGAATGAAGCTGATACTTAACCTTTGCCTTTCAGATGGATTTGATACTTTTCCAACTCTTCTATGTGCTGATGGGTGTAGCATGATTGATAGGAGAATGGTAAGTTATCCTGATATCATGAAATTATCCTTTTCCAACACTTCTGTGGTATGTGGAAGTAACTGTTTGAAACTAGATCAGGGGTCACTACTGCTCTAACTGCTAAGTATATAGTTTGCCAATCTAACTGGGCAATATTCTGTTGCCCTTAGAACATGTGATCTATCAGTGCATGATTTTATACTGGCCCTTGTCTAGTAGCGGAGAGGTCATACAGACCACTTTATATATTTTTGTTCTGAACCTCGTTTAACTATGCCAGTAATTTTGCAAGGATTTAGACAGAGGAATTATAGCTTGATTTATATTTTTTGAACTCGTTTTATGTACCGGAGTGCCTAGTGTTGTTAGTTTGGGATTTTAATTTACAAAGATTGAGTGTAATGTAATTTTTGGAATTCAACTTGCTTCCACTTTGGCAGGGAATTTATGGATATCCTATCGAAATCCAAGCCCTCTTCTATTTTGCATTGAGGTGTTCAAGGCAGATGCTGAAACCAGAGCGAGATGGCAAGGAATTGATCAAACGCATTGATAAGCGCATAACAGCTCTCAGTTATCACATCCGAAATTACTACTGGCTTGATTTCACACAGTTAAACAACATATATCGTTACAAAACTGAGGAGTATTCCCACACTGCTGTCAATAAGTTCAATGTCATCCCTGAGTCCATTCCTGATTGGGTGTTCGATTTTATGCCCCTACGAGGGGGATATCTGATTGGTAATGTCAGCCCAGCTCGAATGGACTTCCGCTGGTTTTTGGTTGGGAACTGCATTGCAATCTTAAGTTCATTAGTTACACCTGCACAAGCAACAACAATTATGGATTTGATTGAGGAGCGTTGGGAGGACTTGATCGGAGAGATGCCTTTGAAGATCGTTTATCCAGCCCTGGAGGGTCATGATTGGAGAACTGTCACTGGATTTGATCCAAAGAATACACGATGGAGTTACCATAATGGTGGAACATGGCCAGGTATGTGTCATTAACATAATAGTCCCAAGTATGTCATTTGCATTGCAATACATATTTTTTTAGTATAATCATTTCATCGATAAATATTACGGAGTTACCATAATGGTAAAACATGACCAGGTATGGAGTTACCATAATGGTAAAACATGACCAGGTATGGAGTTACCATAATGGTGTTTATTTTAAATGCGAAGTTTCTATGGCCTGATTAACTAACTGCATAGGTATTTAACATTCTTGGCTTGGTGTTTTGAATATTGTAAGCAGCTTTGATATGGCTACTCACAGCAGCATGTATCAAGACCGGAAGGCCTCAAATTGCAAAACGAGCCATAGAGCTGCTAGAACAGCGCCTTTCCAAAGATGGATGGCCTGAATACTATGATGGTAAGGCGGGGCGTTATGTCGGGAAGCAAGCAAGGAGATATCAGACATGGAGCATTTCTGGCTACTTGGTAGCCAAGCTGATGATAGAGAACCCAGCCAACCTCCTGATAATCTCTCTTGAAGAAGATAAAAGAATCTCCAAGCCAAAGCTCACCCGCTCCATCTCATTTTAAGAATAAACAAGAGGAAACATGTAATTGGTGAAAGGATATTCTTGCAAAATTTACATCAGCATGTTTTTTTTTTCAGAATGATGTTGAGAAAAGAGAATCATCAGAATGTTACAATTGTTGTCGTATAACCCTCTTGCAATAGGATCTCAACGATCAATTCTTTTGCACTGATGTTTGTTGTATAAAAGATGATGAGTTTTGGGGTCAAGATAGAAAGGTTGAAACCTGGAATTTTATGATTCCAACCGTTTGGCATAGTAGTAAATAACAAAGACTTGCACAGTTTACGGCACGACAAAGATTAAACAAAGCTCATTTCAACTAATCCATAGCTGTAAAGGGCAAGAACAAAACTGCAACGGTCCCACTGCTATTTCTCCCCAGCCGGCTTAACATTCAACCAACGGGCAGGATCACAGCTAAAAATCTGTAATTTATCCACTAATATATAATTTTATCAATCAGATTACTTAACTTTCTAGATGATATTATTCAAGTCATTTGTTGTAAAGAAATGCTCATGTGATAGTTAAATAAATTCGTATAATATTTAAATGAAATATTAAACATGTCTTAGTGGTTAAACATGCATTTCATTATCCCATCAAATTCAAATTTATATCTCTCAATTCAATCTTAAACTCCTAAATCCTTTTTCACACATCTTGAGTTCGATTCCTTGTTAACTTTGATTTTATAAATTTTTCTCTAATCAAATTGTGACTTGTGTCGTCATTTGATTGAAAAGAGAAAATATTGAATTAAATAAATTAAAGTTAAAAGAAATTTCTTTTAATCAGACGGTGATATATATCATCATTTTATTAGAAGATTAAATTTATTGAATTAAATTAAAATTAATATCAAATTGAATCATATGTAAATAATAAGAATTAAATGAATTTTTTGTAAATTTACTTAATTATCACATCATTAGTTGTTGATGACATATGACTTAATTGATATAATTTAAATAATTAAATAATTAAATAATTTAATTGACGAAATTAATAGATAAGTGTTCAAGCTAAAACTTCACTCGTAATTGAGTGACTATCGAAATAATTTCACCTAAAAAGAAAAGAAGTCCAAACCAATGGCTAAAGGAGAAAACGTCTGAGGCACGACACATCCCATATATTAAAAGATGAAAGCAGCTAGCAAAAGCCAAGTGTTGCGCCACTTTACAACTGTCTTCCTTCCTCCCTTCTCTCTTTAACAAAGCTGATTAGCCAACATTTGCGGTTTAATAATCTCATCCGAACAATTTGATCAAATAAGGCGATGGAAGACAGCTGCAGCTTCATATCGTGTGACAAGCTAGATCGTATGGCTAATCGGGTCGGAAAGAGCGTGGCTTCTGCATTTTTCGCATCGTTGGAGCGGTGCTCCTGTATTAATCTCAGCACCACCGATTTTGATGAGGATGAGGAAGCCTATGAGCGCCCCCTCGTGCTCGCCAAGCCATTTCTCCATGAACGAACATGAAACTGAACCGCGATCCAAACCATCCCCTTAGATCAATTCCATTGTCAATTTGCTCATCGTTGTTGATCAGTTCTTCTTCTGGGGTTTGTTCCTTCTGTTTCATTACTTTTTTTCCTTTTCATTTTATACGTTCAAAGAATGTATTGAGTTATTCGTTGATTCGATTCTCGTGTAGTGTGGCTAATAACTTGGTGTAATTTTGTTCCTTTTCTAGCTATCATTTGAATGGAATTTCCAAGGATTTTGTGGATTTCTTTCTAATTTAATTTGAAGATGGTACAACTTTACAATTCTCAACTCATTTGCCTATTCATCATATTATTGTGAATTTTTTTATCTCACAACCTTTCTTGTTCTGGGAGTGTACGAACTTAATGATTGAATTCATGTTTAATGTTGATGAATTTCATTCTTGATGTCTTTCTTTTTGCCTTTTATTCTGTTGACTATTCATTGGAAAAGCAAAAAGAAAATACCAAGCGCATAAATTATATTGTTCTTTCACTAATCTGTCAAACATATTTTCTAAATTTTATTCAATGAGTGAAACCAGGAGGGATGAGATGCAGTAGTGAAAGTGTTCTTTAAGTTTTATGTTAGCAACTTAGCATTTTTTTGTCGGTTCATTGTGTATGCCACAGGTTCATTTCTTTCTACCCATGAAAGGCTGCCATGTTTTCTTTAGCTAGGACCCTTCTTCTTTATGGTAGAATTTGTTTTGGCTATAGTTTTGATTATTTATAAATGATTCTCTGGGTAGGATTATGGTGAGTTAATTAAAAGTGTATTGATATAGAAAAGTAAAGTTCAGTGCTTTTAGTTCGAAATTCACAGTGCCTATCTCTTGGATTCTCATCTATGCCTCTTAAGAAAGTCAGGTGAATCAGGCAAAGGTATTATTTATCCTTGGAGTCTCTCCAGCATCAACACACGACGTTCAATAATGTACAGCCTCGCATGCTTCTGATTTAAGATCCTACTTCTCGGTAACTGAAAACTGAACCTTGCCTTGTATCCTAATTGAAAATGCAAGATGAGAAATTGATGAAAGAAGAAACCTTTGTCAATTCTAGCAAGAGAGAAGAAGTTGAGGGGTTATGAAGAAGAAAAAAGGGTTATGGGAGAAAGATGAGAAAAGTGGTCTGCATATTACCCCAAAAACTCTGGCCAAACCAGCCAAAATCTTTTCCTATGTCAGCCAAACTTTCATCCTAAGCTCAAAAATCCCTCATCTTTATATTAATTATATTATATCTCTCTCATACGATTGACCTCAATTTCGACACATGAGACCCCATACTTCAAATAATTTATTCAAATAAAATTCGGATTAATGCTCAGACGTTGACTTGAAATTTTGGATCGTTATATAGAATGTGAATGAAATAATGATCCTAAAATTCAATTTGAGCCTGCACATGTTAAAAAAAATCACTAAGGCTGGACCTTCTCATTTGAAGACTGAAAAAAAATTAAAATCTTCATATCAAATTGGATGGGTTATATGGTTATTAAAGTAAATTTGTAAACTATGCAATACAATTTAAAATATGTCACATCTAAATCGACTATGTTATGGATTCATTTGAATATGCAATAAACTCCACTTTTTGTATTGAAACTAATAGTGAATAATTGTGTTTTTATTAATTTTCCTAAAGTTAGAGTTGGTCAGCTTTTGTATAATCTTTACTTTGGCTTGGAGTTGGACAATGATGATTGTCACGTATCACATAATATCAAACCGAATCTTAATATACATATCACGTAATATTATTGTCAATCTTCTATCCCATATTACCTTACGATATGAGCTTTCAACCACAAAAGCTAAAAAATATCTTTTCAATTTAGGTGCAAAATCACTTTACAAATGTTATTTTTTTCCAAAAAAAAAAAAGTACTTGCTTGGGATTACTTCTCCTTAAATAAGTACTTTTAGATTGTCTAAAACAATCTTAGATGGGTTTAGAATTACTTTTAAGATGTGATTTTGAGAAAGATATCTGATAATATGCATTTCATTCATGAAGAAAAAAAATTAATAACAATATTAAATAGGGTTAAGTGCAGTTATCCTATAATCTGGTAATAGATGGACGGCAAATTTTTCATGAATGAAATACATCTAAGATTTGAGGACGTTACGAAGGCTGGTTACAAAATTTGGTCCTGCTGCTGTAAGTTACATGTGTATGATTGTATGTTTATTAAATCTTTACAACTTGGAGCCCATGGTCGTCCTTGGAATCTCCTCTAACACCATGTAACTGCATATTTGCAATCAAAACCATAGATTTACTACAACGGAATAAATTCAAACATGGAATTTGTTTACAGTTGGGGCAGCTTGAAGCCTGTTTGTTTTTACAGCAGGTCCAGTGTGAGTGTATTCGAAACCGATGAACCATAAAGTAGTATTTATGTTTTGCAGAATAGAAGCTTGTAATCAGTATTGATTAGTTTTTAGTTAACATAAAATGACTCACAATTGAATTGGATTATATCAGGAAAGCTGACGAATTAACTGGGACAGCTTTCCCATTTGTGTTCGCTATCATAAAGACAATGACCCTTCCAAAACAAACATATTCTCTCCTTCATTTGTCCAATATTGTTCTGCAAATTGTTTTCCATTTATTTAAATGATGATCATGATAATGATACTGCTGTGCTATACGGTTGCTGATGGCTCTTGCTTGTTGCCTGCTGCTACTCATTACTCGCAGACATGGAATTATAGTTTTATCACTGTCTCAATGGTTTCCCTGTAAGCTGAAAATCCCTTATTTTATTGTAGTTTTCGTTATTGATTTATGCTGTAGCATCCATCTCTACAGTCAAAAAATATAAAGAATCAACTCTATTGAGCTAACCTTTTTGTCTCAAGCATGCATGTCTTGTTGACTTGAGATTAAGATGTTGATAGATAAACTTACACCATAATTTTCTGTTCCTTTTTTTAAGATGGGGGAGTGAAAAAGAAAAAAAAAAGGTCTTTGCTACAGTTAGAATCTTTAATTAAATTAGATGGTATTAGTTAAAAACTTAAAATTTTGGTTTCTGCCACGTTACGTGGGCACTTTAGGCCAACTGCCCCCCTAATTTATTGGGTAGGATCGTAAATGAGACCACAGATTGTAATTTATTCAAGTTTGATTCGGTCAAAATTTGATAAAAACTTGATTTGGATAGATTTGAGTCGAGTTCGAACTTGATTTTAGTTATTAACGAGTTGAAGTGAACTATTTGATACCTTATTCGAAATGATAGCGAGTAACTCGAAAAAATAATATATTAAAATTTTATTTTTAAATTAAATTGTTAATAATATTAACATTTATATGTTGTTTATATAAAAAAGTACACTATAAGGCTTTTATGTACTTAATGTCTAGGTTCGAGCTTCAACCAAGCTAAGTGTGAAAATGTGTCAGGATTGGAGAAGAAGAAGAGGAACGGCGAGAAAATATCGAAGAACATTTGGGAAATGAAGGTCGAGGGTTAGGGATTGAAGAAACAAATTGGGAATTCAATCAGGTGAAAGGTAAGGGGTTACTTACAGAGCAGGCCGAGCAAGAGGATGGACTGAAGGAGAAGCCCAAGACAGAAGGCCCAGTACCTGTGAAAGAGAAGAAAGAGAAGAATCAGTTAGTTACAGCTGGACTGGCAATTAATGATTGGCCATTGTAACTAAATAATTAACAGAATCTGGTGTAAATTTCCTTATGCAAATTGAATGATGAATATCTCTCTCTCGTCTGAATTCTCCTAATTCTTCTTCTCCTATCTCTCGTCTGAATTCTTCTCCTAATTCCTTCTTCTCTCAAAAACTATAACAATTGGTATTCAGAGCTTTGATTCTGGCAAAAATTTCTGGGGGGCATGACAAAGAAGAACCAGTCTATGGCGGAAACTGATTTAGCGGATACAAAAACAGATTGAAGACTTAGCTGCTTTGGTGAAGAAGGGGCAAGAAAACTAATCCACCTAAATGGTGGGAGACTCAAGAGAATAGAATCACTGCATTAGAGTCCAGAATGGCCACTAATCAGGGTTATGTGAAGGAACTGTTAAAGATTCTGACAGGCAGGAATGAGGAACAGGAGCATTCTACTGATGAGCAGGTACAATCTCCTGATGAGCAGGTACAATCTCCTGATACTTCTAAAAATAAGGACAGAAATCCTGTTTTGGTGACTGTGGTGAATGACAAGTCTAGATTTACCTATAAACCGGATGAACCTGGGTTATTAAAGACTAAACCGGATGCATGTTTAGCTCTTAAGAACAGTTTTAGGCCTGAAAATCAAGTGGGTGAAAACAGTGATTCTAGACCTAATCTGTTTGGATTGGAAACTGAAAAAAGGGGGCCAGGAGGTTCACTTAACAGTGCTGGAACTATGTGGCACAAACCTAAGATAGATCTACCATTTTTTGATGGGGTCAATCCTAGGGGATGGATTCAAAAATGCTTAAAATATTTCTCTATTTGTAGTGTTTCGGTTGAGCAAAGAGTAGAGGTAGCTACTATGTATTTGACAGGCAAAGCAGAAATATGGTTTGATGGATATATAATGAAGAAGCACCATGTAACATGGCATGAATTTGAAGCTGATATCTGTCACAGATTCAGTGATAGATCTTTCTGTGATATTGTGGAAGAGTTTACTAAATTGACTCAAAAAGGATCAGTGGAAGATTATCAGGAAAAATTTGAGGAGTTACAGCCCTATATGTTGTTGCAGAATCCTACTTTAACTGAGGAGTTCTTTGTATCACTTTTTATTAGTGGTCTAAGAGATGATATTAAGCATAGGGTCAAGGCTTTGGATCCTAGAAACTTGTTTGAAGCATGTAAACAGGCCAAGCTTTATGAACTTTCTGTGGAGTTTGAAAATAAAAGATTAAGGCTTCTTTTAAAACCCACCCTACCCAAACCCCATATCTATGTCTAAGACACCTGCTATGCCAGTGTACAAAGCTGACCTCATCATCTAATCCAAAACAGAATCTTATGGATTATAGAAGACAAAATAATCTTTGTTTCAAATGTGGAGAGAAATATTTACCAGGCCATCAGTGTAAAAACAGGCAGTTCAATATGATGACTGAAGAGATTGATAATTTTCCTGTGGAAGTTAGTGCCACTGATGCAGAACAGATTCAGCAGCCAGAAGAAGAAAATCTAGAAATTTCTATGAATGCCATTACGGGTTGTATTGGCCATAATACTTTGAGAATTCAGGGTACTATTCAAGGGAAACCCCTGAATATCTTAATTGATAGTGGAAGCACACATAGCTTTTTAACCCCTAAATGGGCTGATGTTGGTATACAGATTACTACCCCTAATCCTCTGGCTATCACTATGGCTAATGGCCAGAAATTATTCAGCTCAGCTCGTTGCAACAAGGTAGAATGGCAAAATGGGCCATACTTTTTTACATGATTTTAGGCTGCTTAAATTGGGAGGAAGTGACATGGTCTTGGGGGTTGATTGGATGAAGTTATTCAGTCCAATACTAATGGACTTCAACAACATGACTTTGAGCTTTGATTATCAAGGGGATCAGATTTGTATTCAAGGTCAACAGCCCTCTAATGAATTACTACAAATTTCTGGAGCTACACTACTTAAAATGTCGCATGGGATTCAGATATTTTGGGTCAGTTGTTTTATTATATGGATGGGAAGTCTATTATTCCTACTGAAATTCAACATGTGTTGGATCAGTACAGATCAGTTTTTGATGAACCTAAAGGGTTACCTCCTCAGAGATCTCATGACCATGCTATTCAACTCAAATCTACTGCTACACCTGTCAATTTAAGGCCTTACAGATTTCCTTACAATCAAAAGGCTGAAGTGGAAAAACAGATAGCTTCTATGCTTTCTTCTGTTATTCAACCTAGTAAGAGCCCATTTGCTTCTCCTTGCCTTATAATTAAAAAAAAGGATGGAACTTGGAGATTTTGTGTGGATTACAGAGAATTAAATAGTATGACCATCAAAGACAAATTTCCTATTCCTATAGTGGAAGATTTGTTGGATGAGTTACATGGGGCAGTATACTTTCAAAAATTGATTTGAGGTCAGGTTATTGGCAGATCAGAATTAAACCTGAAGATATTTACAAGACAGCCTTTAGAACTCATCAAGGTCATTATGAGTTCAAGGTAATGCCTTTTGGTCTTACTAATGCTCCTGCTACATTTCAGGCACTTATGAATGAATTATTCAATTCTTTTTCAGAAAATTTGTTTTAGTTTTCTTTGATGATATATTGGTATACAGTAGCAGTATGCAGGATCACATTGAACACTTACAGCTGGTTTTAGAGGTGTTAAAGGTGAATCAATTATTTGCAAAATGGTCCAAGTGTTTCTTTGGACAAAATCAGGTGGAGTATCTTGGTCATATTATTTCTGTTGCAGGGGTATCTACTGACCCTAGCAAGGTGGAAGCTATGCAGAATTGGCCTAAGCCTAAAACTCTTAAATCTTTACGAGGATTTCTAGGCCTAACTGGATATTACAGAAGATTTATCAGAAATTATGGCATTATTAGTAGGCCTTTGACAATTGTTGAAAAAGGATGGATTTCAGTGGACTGATGCTGCTTATAAAGCTTTTGAGGATCTTAAATTGGCTATGTGTTTTGCTCCAGTTTTGGCCTTACCAGATTTTTCTAAAACATTTTATCTAGAAACAGATGCTAGTTCTGGAGGTATAGGGGTTGTTCTTTCACAAGAAGGAAGACCTATTGCTTATTTAAGTCAAGCTCTAAGTCCAAAAAATTCAGCATTATCTATATATGAAAGAATACCTTGCTATTCTCTTGGCTGTTTCAAAATGGAGACATTATTTGGAGAGTAAATCTTTTATTATTAAGACTGATCATGAGCCTCTAAAGTTCTTTTAGAACAGAAACTGACTACCACTATTCAGAAAAGAGGTTTGACAAAGCTTCTGGGGTTGGACTATACCATACAGTATAGAAAAGGGAAGTTGAATGTTGTTGCTGATGCCTTATCTAGAAGATGGGAGGATCAGGCTCACTACTTTGCTTTACAAGCTACTGTTTTAATACCTGCTTGGGTTCAAGAGGTGGAAGAAAGTTATCAAGAGGATACTTTAGCTCAGTATTGGATTTCAGCTCTTACTATTAATCCTACAGTTGACAGTAAATGGAAATATTCTAAAGCTATCCTTAGATACAGTGGTAGAGTTTATATTGGAGTTCATGGCAGTCTTAGGTTGAAGATTATTAAGACCTTACATGACTCCTCAAGGAGGCCATTCAGGAGCTCAAGCTACATATTATAGGATTCGGTCACATTTTTACTGGCCAAATCTTAAAGCTATGGTTGTTACTTATGTGAGAAGTTGTGAAATTTGCCAGCAGATTAAGGTAGAACATGTAGCAAAGCCTGGTTTGCTACAGCCCCTTCCTGTTCCTAGTCAGGCTTGGGAGATAATCACTATGGATTTCATTGAAGGTCTGCCTACTTCATTTAAGAAAAATTGTATTTTGGTGATTGTGGATAAGTTTACAAAGTACACCATTTTTTGTCTTTGGCTCACCCTTATTCTGCAACTGAGGTGGCTAAGTTATACCTAGATAATGTGTATAAGTTACATGGCCAACCTAAGATGGCCATTTCTGACAGAGATAAGACATTCACAAGTGTGTTTTGGAGGGAGTTAATGAAACAGTTGGGCACAAAGACATTTTTCAGTACTGCTTACCATCCAGAAACAGATGGACAAACGGAGAGAGTCAATCAATGCTTAGAACAATATTTGAGGGGCCTTTGCTTCTATCGACCTAAGCAATGGGCTAAGTGGCTACCATGCAGAGTGGTGGTACAACACCACTTATACTGCTAAAGATAACACCTTTTCAGGCGTTATATGGGTATAAACCACCTATTATGGTTTGGCCTATTGAGTCTACAGTACAGACTATATCAGAAATAATGAGCAGTAGAGAGGCTACCAGACAGTTGCTAAAAAATCAGTTGCAGATAGCAAGTAATAGAATGAAGCAGCAAGAAGATAAGAATCGAACTGACAGAACCTTTCAAATTGGGGATTTAGTTTACCTGAAATTGCAGCCCTACAGACAGACATCGATTGCCCTGCGAAGAAACTTGAAGTTAGCAGCAAAATTTTTTGGACCTTATCGTATTCTGGAAAGAATAGGAACAGTCGCATATCGCTTGGATACCTAATTCTTCTCGGTTGCATCCGGTTTTTCATGTCAGTTTACTGAAGAAGTTCATAGGCGATTCTTCCATTGTTGCTACTGATCCTCCTGCAGTAGATGAAGAAGGAGAAATACAGATTAAACCATTGAAAATTATGGCCAGAAGAATTATAAATAGAAACAGTAAACCTGTTACGCAACTTCTGGTTCGCTGGGAGAATCTTGCTGCAGAAAATGATACTTGGGAAGATTACTCGACTCTGAAAGGGCAGTTTCGGCGTTCGATCCTTGGGGACAAGGCTCGTCTCGAGGGGTGGGTATTGTCAGGATTGGAGAAGAAGAAGAGGAACGGCGAGAAAATATCGAAGAACATTTGGGAAATGAAGGTCGAGGGTTAGGGATTGAAGAAACAAATTGGGAATTCAATTAGGTGAAAGGTAAGGGGTTACTTACAGAGCAGGCCGAGCAAGAGGATGGACTGAAGGAGAAGCCCAAGACAGAAGGCCCAGTACCTGTGAAAGAGAAGAAAGAGAAGAATCAGTTAGTTACATAGCTGGACAGCTGGCAATTAATGATTGGCCATTGTAACTAAATAATTAACAGAATCTGGTGTAAAAATTTCCTTATGCAAATTGAATGATGAATTTTCTTCTCTATCATCTCTCTCTCATCTGAATTCTTCTCCTAATTCCTTCTTCTCTCAAACTATAACAAAATGTTTCGAGTTTAAGTTTTCTCGAGCTCGAATAGAGTTTAATTTTTGATTTTGAATTCAACTCATGCTTGACAATTTTAAGCTCACGGATTTTTTAGTAGAGTTAAATTCAGCGATACTGATTTACAGCCTTATCGTCTCATCATTTACAGACCTAGTGATGGGGATTTAGATTTAATAAAAATCTCAAAGTTCTTTGCTTAGGTGAAAACAAAAACTTAAACGAAGAGACAACTTTGGAAGTTCATGCCACAGAGTGCAGCAATGCTTATGATAGTGTCAAATGGCAGATGTCTGAAAAGATCATAACAAACAAACCCATCCTTTTCTCCCCATTGCTTCGAGTACTACAGAGCTAAAATAATTGGTCCAATCGTTTGTCTTTGCTACCTTTTCTTTTCAACTGGCATCTTTCCACTTTCATACCTTTACTGGCAATGACATGCACATATGATAGCATATTTGGAGTAGTTAAGCAAAATATGGAGCTTTAACAACTATTAGAGGGAAAAAACATATTTGGTTGGTGTTGCTTAACTTTCATGGCTGAACGTAGCTGAAAACCCAGTTTGTAATAACTAAAATAATACGAGGCAAACATAATGACAGAGAGAGTAGAGAGGTAGCTGTTGAGGTGGGGATGCTTGGAGTGTGTATATTTTTCTCAGTCAACGACATACTTTAAGTGGGAAAACGTTGACAGATTACGAATCAAAACAGAAAGATAATTAATTTGCTTTTCCCTGTTAAGGAAATGGCTAAAAATCCCTTGCAACACAATGGGGTCACGCTGAAGAATCACTCCCCCAACACATTCACGACACCATGTTAGAGGTATCATGAAAGCTGACAAACATAATTCACCCACAAAAAACCCTTTCTTCTTTCTACTTTTAGCTTCCATGGTTAAATTCTTAAAATATTCAATGGCTTCACCCTTTAAATTGGCTCCCCTCCTCGCTTCCACTCCCTATCTTCCAACTCTCACAGCTTCTCTTCCCAAATGGCTACCTTTGACACTTTCTGCTTTCTGTGCTTATGCTTGTTGATGTGGTATTATCTTCAAGCTTTCCCTGCCATGGCACATGAATGGCCTGGAGGAGGCTCGACCAGGTTCTATGTTTTCAAGGTCAATCCATCAAATGCATGAAATACCGTGCTATACAATTATCTTTATGTTCTCGTTTCTGGTTTTTTCTAACTGTGAAGTGTACTTTTTCATTGCAAACAGGTGCAAACCTTGAGAGTTTCTAAACTGTGTAACACCAAGGAGATTGTTACCATTAACAAGATGTTTCCGGGACCTGTCGTTTACGCCAAAGAGGACGATCGAATCATCATCAAGGTCTCGAATGAGACCCCCTACAATGCCACCATTCACTGGTATTATCAATCAGAAAAGTCCAAAGGTTTACAAATTGTATATCATTATTAATCATTGCGCCCTGTTATTTTCCTAGGCATGGTGTTGGGCAAAAGCTATCATGCTGGTTCGATGGTCCATCTTACATCACCCAGTGTCCCATTCAAGCTGGCCAGACTTTCACGTACGAGTTCACGATGGTGAAGCAGAAAGGCGCCTTTTTCTGGCATGCCCATGTTTCTTGGCTAAGGGCCACTGTTTATGGTGCCATTGTTGTGTATCCTAAGACTGGGGTCCCTTACCTTTCAAGCATCCGTACGAGAACATATAATAATCCTAGGTATATATATATATGATCTCCTTCGATCCGACATACCAAAATACTTAAAATAATGTGATCAAATGTGTTTGGTGATGATGATCAAATGTGGCAGGGGAGTACTGGCTAAAAGATGTAGTGCAACTTGAGCAACAAGTTCTAGCAAGCGGAGGAGCCGCTCCACCGGCCGATGCATTTACCATTAACGGTCACCCAGGCCCTAACTACAATTGCTCCTAAAACGGTATACAACATACTTAAAACACTAATTCTTTACTGTATGTGGTTACATTTGGTCACTTGCTTTGATCATGGTGTGCAGATGTCTACAAGATCAATGTGGTTCCCGGGAAGACATATATGTTGAGGCTAATCAACGCAGCGTTAAACATGGAGAACTTCTTTGCCATAGCTTATCATAAATTAACAATTGTGGAGGCCGATGCTGAGTACACCAAGTCGTTCATCACGGACCGTGTGATGCTGGGACCGGGGCAGACCATGAATGTCCTTGTCACAGCTGATCGGCCCATAGGAAAGTACTCCATGGCCATGGGACCTTACATGTCTGCCCAAAATGTTTCGTTCCAAAACATATCGGCGATTGCTTACTTCCAATACGTAGGTGCAACCCCTAACAGTTTATCGTTACCTGCTAACTTACCTAGCTTTAATGATAACCTTGCTGTAAAGACTGTCATGGATGGTCTTAGAAGCCTTAATCCTGTTAGTGTTCCAAAAGAGATCGATACTAGCTTGTTTGTCACATTGGGATTAAATATCAACAAATGCCGGTCCAAGACGCCGCAGCAGAATTGCCAAGGCACGAACAATGGGACATTTGCAGCTTCCATGAACAATATAACCTTCGTGAAGCCCACTGTATCTATTTTGGAAGCTTACTATAAGAAGATCGATGGCTATTTCACCGAGGACTTCCCCGGGGCACCACTTAAATTCTATGACTTTGTCAATGGGGCACCAAACAATGCTCCTAATAACACACAGGCCATCAATGGAACTAGGGCCAAGGTCATCGAATTTGGAAGCAGGGTCCAAATTATCTTCCAGGACACTGGCACAGTCACAACCGAAAACCACCCGATTCATCTCCACGGCTACAGCTTCTATGTTGTCGGATACGGTACGGGGAATTTCGATCCGCAGACCGCAGACCGCAAACTTCAACTTGATCGATCCACCTTATATGAACACAATCGGTGTCCCTGTGGGCGGATGGGCGGTAATTCGGTTTGTGGCCAACAATCCAGGTAAGATGTAATTGTTTTTACAATGAAAATTGAGATCCCTATTACTCATATATTCGGTTGCTGTTAAACAAAGTAGAAATTGATTTGTTTGTATGGTATTAGGGGTTTGGTTTATGCATTGCCACTTGGACATACACCAATCGTGGGGATTAGACGCGGTGTTGATAGTGGAGAATGGGAAGGGAGAGCTGGAGACTTTGCCTCATCCTCCTGCAGACATGCCTCGCTGCTAGACCACCATGCATTGAAAAAAAAAAGAAGAAGCTCTTGATATTTCTCACCAACTATTGCTTTAGGTGCAAGTATGTTATATATTCCATTTCTCTTTAATTGGGATTGTCAATTTGTGTTTGTAAAGATTGGAGGAATAAAACCCCACATTTCTTTTCCTTTCATTTCCCTTATCCACCACTCTTTTTTGTCTAGGCCTTTTGGGATATCAGATCTCAGTCTCCTTGATGCAAATAGGTCCATCATATGCTGGTCTTTGGTTAACGTAGAGGGTTATTTATAGGAATAATATTCTTTTTAACCTGTTTTTTTTAGTTAAAATGACACTCAAATAATATTTTAACTCAAATAATATCCTTTTAGATTTTGGAATTTCGAGTATTTTATAAAAAATACTAATTATTTTTAACTGATGTATCCATACAAATCTGATTAAGTATAAAAAAATATATTTGACTCAAAACAATAAATTTTTGTAATTATTTACTTGAATATAGTCTTCTAAACATTTACTCATTGAATGATTGAAGAACACTCACACACAACAAACTTGTGCCTGTGCAAATACATGTTTCTAACACATATGGCATGCATGAATATGATTTCTTTTTGAATAAAGTTCATAGATACTTTTATACTTTTAACTCATTATTATTCATTTATTTCATTTTAACCCTGAATAATGTTAGTGCGTCGCATGAATGATCTGCCACATAGATAAAGATGTGTCTGGCCATATTAGTGCCATTTTGATTAAAAAAAAACTTAGAAATGGTATTGTTACTATAATATTGCCTAGGATATAGTAACCGTATTAAAGATAGATCAATCAAACTGTCATTTGTACATAAATTATATATAAGTAGTAAATTTCATCTGATTTGATTAATTTTAGTCTCATATTTTGTAAATTTTAAAATTGTAGTCCTAATCTAAATGATACAAGAATAATATACTTAAGTTCTTGAGATTCAAAATGATGAAATTGGACAACATGAACTAAATCTACAACCACCGAGAAGAGAGGATCAAGTTGACTTTACTGAAAGCTAAGGGGAAACCAAACCATATAAACACTGCACATCCGCCATTAAAATTTTAATGCATTTTCATATATTGAACAAATCCTGTCTCTACCTCATAACATTGTAGTTTTCTATTTCTTTTCCAAAAAAAAAGGGGTAAAGTTAATATGCAAAGAATTGTTTTCTATAATCAATTCTTGCAATTGGGTAATCAAAAGTTAAATAAAGGAGCTTCTAGTCAATAACTACTTAACTACATCACAATGGGTTTGATGCTACGAAACCAATATTTTTCAGAACAAATACCTCTCACAGGTTGAAGACAGATGACTTAGCTTGGCTTAATCGCATAAGAACAGCAATCCAAATGTAGCACATCAGTGGAATATCGAAATAGACAAACCAATGATTTGACAAATGCAAGCAGCCGCCACTATGGGCCAAAACCTGTTAATGCATTGCGACTGCCAATTATTATGCAACTACCCAACAAATCATGAAAGCAAACTAACCCCACCGGTTTTTTCGGAAGTATTTCCTGTCCACCGGCTATAAATCTACTCCTCGCGCACTCTGGCTGATGAGTCGCTTTCCTGAAAGACCCCATCAAAACATCTCCAGTTGTATGGCAATATAGACAACTTCAAATGGGACCAATCAATTGGTATGGCCATGTAATGTGGATACAAATTAAAGAATAATATCCAATAAAATCCAACTGGCCATTTTCAGACATCCGATTCAACTAAGTACAGGAAAAGAATGTTGAATATAACTAAGATTTAATTCCACAGTAACAGACCTGACAACCTTAGTTGGCCGGTAAAAGGAAAAGTATCACCTTGATATCCAGATCTACTGCTCATACTTATGTTTGTCGGTTCAATACCACATATTGGTACCAATTTGGACGTAAGCTTACACCCAGTGATGCGCAAATTGGAAATCAACCAAGCATAAATGATTTTAGCCCCACAAATCTGAACAGTGAAAGCTTCAACATCTGTGACACCATTCTTGTTTTGCTAAAACCAAACATGGCAAAATTTTGAAGTCTCAATAAAGCTAATGGTGAATTGGTAATCCATAATTTTGAAATGACCTGATCCGTCCATCCCAACCAGCTGTTACAATTACGAGGCCCCAAGAATGAGATGCACTCTGACAAGACGTCTTAAGCAACTTGTACTGACATTTACACATTGCAGATGATACAACCAAGGAGTTCGGAAGGGGGAGCTGTTCCTCTGGCCAGGTTGCAGTACCCTTGGGCAAAGATTCAGAGAAAAATCCATGGCCCAAAGAAAAACGTTCAGAAGAGGAAAATGGTAATTTGTGTTGAGAGCTCTCGCTCAACTCAGACTGCAATAACCCAGTATTCCCATTACATGTCCGTGTGCTAGAAGAAACTATGGGTGATGGCACACTTCCTGCCATATTTGAGAAAATAGAGTTTATAGATGTCATGCCACACCAAGGTATGGCTACTGATGCATTATTTGAGAAAAAGCGTTCACAAGACCAATTGTTTTTTGCTTGGGGAACTGGTCCATCCTGGATAACATTGTTCCACACATAGACATTAGAATCTTCACTTGCTGAAACAATTCGCATTCCATCTGAGGTAAATGAAGCAGATATCTGGCTCCCTGCATTCTGCAGACCTGTAGATAACACATAGCCATGTAATAAAAGAGTAAAGCAAGCAAAAAAAAGTTTCAAAAGTGAAACAAAACACCCAAGTTTTATGTAGTAATTTCCTATCCATTTGGTAAGGAAACAATGTATTAAAACATGTAATAAATCGTTCCTTCTTTTTTTCCCCCCACACCTCCCAACCAATAAAACATGTATGCCACCACTTTCCATTCACCTCAGACCCAAAAGGGGAAAAGCATCTTCATATGAGTTTGAGAAAATCTCCTTCAATGACTCCAATTTGGGTAGTTCAAACTTTGATAAATGTTTACTCTCCTACTTGCAACACTTATTTTCCATCTCAATGCATCATTAAATCAGGCAAACAACTACCTACCTCGAAATTTGCAGACCACATCAACATCATGGAGGATTCGAACTTGTGAATCAGCAGAAGTAACCATCAATTTATCCGGGTCCCCAGGTGCAAACTACACGATAATCTCTTTATTAATTTTCAAATGCTTGGAAGCTTGGTTAAGGACAGATATTTCAACAACAGAATGAGGAAACAGATGGTAATCATCATACCTGAAATCCAGTTATCCTACTGCATACTGATTTCTTCTTACTGCGTAAACATATTTGAGCATTAAGTTGCAGATGGTTATCTGATTTGCATAAATAATACCAGTTAGTGTTTCCCAAACAAATTAACCTCCAAAGAGGCATCTATAATAGGTTTGGTAGAGAGCACATGGTATTTGGATGAGATAAAAAAATGCAAATTACCTGTCAACAATACCATGTTGTCAATTTTAAGTACAAAAATATTCAGCTTAAAGAAAATGGAAGCCACAAATATGAAACAAGAAGATTCCACAGAAAGTCCAAAGAAAAAATTTCAAAAGGGATGCTCACCAACATCCCCCTTCATATTGCAAAAGTAACCCAAAGTTATTTATTAACAACTTGGATGAAACAATTTTAGCAGAAAGTAAACTCTTCACCAAAAATTAAATCAAGTGATATTAACAGGCAGCAGATAATCTTTTTCATTTCCTCAGTTCCTCTTGATCTCTGCAGGCCTCCAAACTTACAAGTTTCTGACACAGATTGTTCAACACAAAAGATTTTTTTTGTTGTTGAAGTTTTTAATTTCCTTCAGCCAAAAAGTATTTTGATGATATCCTCGCACCATTCTATTTCAATGTATTAAAAATGGTCAAATCTAAGAAGAGTATGATTAGTCCTAGTGACAGCTAGATAAAGAGTTAAAGTTTCCAGATCCTAGAATTGCAATATCGCAGATGTTGAACAAAAAACTGATTTTTCATAAAGGGGACTAGGGAACTAAAGATAATATACCTGAAGCATCATAAAAGCGGCAATTTCCATTCATAGAACCAATAACTGCACCCTGCAGAGAGAAAAAGAGAATTAATGAACTCAAAATCCTAAAAGTCAATTGCAAAATAACTTGGTTAAGAAAAGCTCCATTGAACCTTTCCGTCAGGACGATAGCAAACAGCTGTAACGATATCTGTCACGTCAGTCCAATCAACAACTTGACCACCAGGAATTTCCCAGATGCGCACTTTCCCATCTATAGAACCACTTATGAAGTAATCATCATCCACTGGATTAAATTGAACGCATGTTACTGCATCACATAGCAATAAGAACAAGAACAGTTATAATGGTATAAATCACAATGCCAAAGGTGATTGTTCACCTTAATAGACATTTCTATAACAAAAAATAAGATATGATAAAACTCAAGTATGGATTCAACTATGCTACCATAATCATTGTGGGCAAATACTTTTTGACATTCGTCATATCCAACTTGCCACAAGCGAACTGTCTTATCAACAGAGGATGATAGAATATGCTGCAATAAATAAATCTTAATAACAAACCAAATAAATTCTAGCAAATTGTTTCAGAGTTGAAAGCAATTACTGACCTTATTCTTTGACCAAGAGAGGTCCAGGACCTCCCCACAATGCCTGCGGAACTCATGGATAGGTTTATCTAAAATTCGAAAAACCTTCCGAGGGAAAATGACATAAGTTGAGTCTGAAATTTTCTTCACTCTCTTTGATTTGCCATTTTTCTCTCTGTCCACGTTAAGAGGAACCAATTCAGAAAAGTTATTTACTGTGAAGTAGACACATGAAGGATCAACATCGTGGATGTCAGAACTCCCTGATCGTTGAGACTCGGAAACCTGCCACACACGCACAACACCATCTTCACCTGCACTTGCAAGGTACCGACCATCAGGGCTAAACTTCATTGTTAAGATTGACCCTTCATGAGCTTGGATCTCTTGCCCCTTGTAAACAGCTGAGAACTCCTTTGACTGCTTCTTGTATGATCTAACTCGAACCATTTGAATCCTAGCCTCTGTACTTGGATGACAATCATTGGATATCATTCCGGCAGATCCAACCTGCCTATCAACGATGCAAGCAACAGCACCTAACCGTCTAAGCCATTGGTTTTTCCCCTGCTTTATTTCTGGCCCTAAATCGGAAACACCTTTGACTTCCCGTCGCATTGCTTGTTGAACTACAGGGGATAAGCCAAGCATCCTTTCGAATTCATCAACCGTAAGCAAATGATTAGACCCTACTTCCCGCAGTTTCCTGAGCATTCCATCCTGACTAAGTTCATCCACAATGAACTCTGTCCCATCATCCAAATTCTTAATCCTACACACAAGATTATCATCCAATGCCGCATCTAACAACTCCCTGGCATCACTTGATGAACAAGAAATGGAAGACTTACTGGAATAAAAACTATCAGAACTAGATGATCCTAAGACCGCTACGCTCTTCTCCATAATTCTATCAGTCTCTACTTCAATTTCATCACGACACAAATTAGAAGGATCTTCCCTGGCAGTCTGATCTACACTTAAACCCGCCCATTTCAGGAATTTATCACGACGTTCACGAATGCTACTGAGGTTTTTAATCCAAATTTCAAATCCAAAATTAGCCGGCATCGAATTGATGGACGTGGAATACTCAGAATCAGAATTCTCCGGGCAATCGGATCCTGACTCAGATACAGAGGTGACATCTTCGCGGGTGTCAAAAAATTGATCATCCTCTTCACTTAAACTCCCCATCATTATTAACTCTTCAGTTCAACGTCCTCTCACAAAAACGAAAACCCTGGGCAATGTTCTAAATCCCCTACAAGGATAACGTGAGAAACAGAACAACAAAACCCCAGAAATAAAAGGAAACAAAAAGAAAAAAAATTATTTCATATTCAGAACTACCATACTAATACCCAGAAACACATATCCCAACTAACCCTCCCCCCAAAAAAAACTAATAAGATGATATAACGTTGAACAGCTTTAAAGCAAAACCCAAATCCCAAAAACAAATGTAAACAAACGGATCAGATATGTAAAGCAATAAGAAAATAAGCAAAGGATAAAACAACAAACTTTCGATGAACATATAAATAAGATTGAGTTTCTCTTTTTTCTGCAAAAAAAAAAAAAACAAAAAGTAGGAAAGGTAAAAAAGTGATATAATGGGTAAGGATTTGGGCACCTCGAGTTTTCGTTGAAAAGTCCGTCGAGCCCAATATACGACTTATTCATCACATCACATCACATCATCACCTTCCCAATTCCCATGGAGATTAGAGAATCAGAGAGGGAACAAAGATTACTTAAAAAAACAAAACAACAAAAACTAAATGGGAAGTAGTTAAGTAGAAAAGTTGAGGTGACAAAATATGGGAAGGGAAATCTCGAAAGGAGTGAAAACGGGTGGACTATGGCCCGAGAAACAAGATTTGGAGAGGCGAGCTTTGTTTGCCTTGCCTTGCTGTCCTGCCCGTACTATTTCCACTTTTTTTTATTTGAATTAATCAATAATATATAATATATTGATCGACTAATTAAGATTGAATATTATAGAGTCGAGTGCGATCCTTCTAATCTAGTTTATTTCATTCACAAACGTCAGGATTCGAACTATTAACCTTACTTAAAATCTAATGTATCATCCCACTAGACCAACTTATTATTGGTTTTTCAACTCTTTTTTACTTCAAAGTAATTAACCATCTTAATCCCTTCAAACTTTCATTTTAATTTCATTGATATTTTCAGTGGCTGTAGATTTAATTGCATTAAGTGTTTGGAGATTATAACCCGCTTAAGAATTATAAAAACATTCAATTAATGAGATAATTGTATATGATCCTTAAGCTATGATATTTATTTTATATTGGTTCTTAAAATTTAAAATAATTTATTTTAATCCCTAAACTATAACTCTCAATCTAAATTAATCTTTAAATTTTAAAATATTTTATATCAATCCTCAAGTTATGATATATTATACCTGATGTGCGATTAACTCTCAGTTTATCTAAAGAAAGTTATACTACTTTATTAAATTTTAAAAAATATATTAAGCGTGATTAAAATTATGTCAAGTGTTTTTTATATTCTCTTAAAAACCATCATTTTAATATTATTTGTAGCCAAAAAAAATTTACAGTGCATGAAATAATATTTCATATTTTTATTTACTTTAATTATTCGTACGTTGAAATATAACAACAATAATAATAACTTTTTATGTGCATAGTTAAGTAGCATCATATATATATCGATGATAGAATTTTAACTCTACAAGGAAGATTAAAAAAATATTATCATTAATTAAAAGTTTAAATAAAAATTAAATAAAAAGTATAACGAATTTTAAATTTATTTATAAAATACAAAACACTTATCAAATGTAACAAATAATATACATTATCGTATAACATATAAATTATATCTTTGCTGTATAACGTGAAAGTGTTACTTATTATTTTATGATGAAAAAGAAAAGAAAAGTATTATTATCCAAAGCGTGTCGCTGACAATTTCAAAGACAATACCATTGGAGGAGAGTGAAGAGCTGGTTGAATTCAACGTAATTACAAATGTGACAAAATTCTGAGAATTTTCATTTAGAATTTTAAATAGAATAATTGATTTTTTTATTACATCAAACTCAAAATTAAAATATTTGATCACAAAAATTAAACATGCTATTTAATCTTTTAAGTTTGAATATTTATATTATTATTATTATTATTATTATTATTATTATTGAGAATTGTTAAATATATAAATGGACCAGACCAAACTAATAAAACCAAAACCTTTTTGAAACAGAATCATTTGAGGTTAATTGGTTTAGGTTGGTTTTTTGGGTTTCGTCAATATTCTGTTGCTTAATCAAAGAAATGGAAAACCGTGATGCCGGCTTCATGCTAACTTCAGCAGTTTAATTATCGTAGTAATGTAAGAAATTTCGTATGCATGCATGAAGCTGTCTGCTGTTGAACCAGCAATTAACCCGGTTTTCAAGCTCTCGCAAACCTTTACAGGTAGTATTAATAAGGATAAATTTCATGTTCAGTACTTAAACTATTACTTTTGTTTCATTTTAGCATCCCGAACTTTATTTTTTTTAAATCATTCCTAAAATTCAGTTTAAGTATCATTTTGATATTTCGCCGTTAAAATTTAAAAAGTATAAAAATTAAAAATAATCAAATTTAAATAGATAGACCTTTAATATTTGATTGAAATTTAATTTAACATAAATTTTCTTCTCATTGTCATCTAATTAATTGTTCTTCTTGATATATTTTAATTTAAATATTTTTCATGCATGTCGTGGTGCCTGCCCCATAACAAACCCACTTTCACACAATAATGAATATTCCTACCATGTACCCCCAAATTCGAAAAAACAACATTCAACAAAATTTGAAAAAGAATATATATTTGTATATATCATAATTCAATAATAATGTACGACAGCAAAAGCAAGCAAGCAACCCATATGCCAAAAATATTGCTTCTATAATGCCATTATCCTTCCTTTAATATTCCCCTAGGGATGAAAAACATCTAACTGATAGGTTTCGATTTGAACTGATAATATCGGATTATATATTTTTATGTCGGATTATATATATATATATTTTAAATTTGATTAAGTTATATCAGACTAAATTATATCTAAATTTTAAAAAAATCATCTCACTCCTAGATAATTATAAAAACAGTCTATTATATATTATTAATTAAATTTTAATATAACCAATAATCAGCTAGTGTAGTGGGATGAGGCGTTAAATTCTTTAAGTAATGTTAAGGGGTTCGAACTCCAGCGTTTGCGAATGAAGTAAAATAGGTTGGAATGATCGTCCCCATAATGGGTCACTGCAAATTTAATCTGGATTAGTTAGTCAATAGATCATATATCAATGAATAATTCAATATATATATATATATAATCATTTATTTTCACTAATCTAACGATCTTGAATATATGTAAAACTAAAATAATTTTATAACAGAATCTCATCCCATTAACGTATAAGTTACTAGATCCCAACCTTAAAACGAGTAATTAAATAAGTTTGGAAGTTGTTGCCCTGTCAAAATTAAGATTATGTTGTGAAACTATGTGCAAATTTTATATCGATAATGTTTAATCTTGTTGCTCATAATAATGTATGCCCTCGTTGTCAAAAAAAAATTTAAATTCAAATTAAATAAAAAAGAAATATATGAATATAAATATTAAATCATATCTGGGTCGATGAAAAACCCACACAATTCGTGCCGCTTGTCATCGCTATATGCCCCCAACAAATTACGTTTTGAAATTGGAAAGTTCTCGATGCCGCTGGTGCAAAGTCATTCACGCCAAATGCTCTGCTTTCTTAGCCAAAAAAAAGAAAATCCAAATAAATATCATAGATATCCAATCTTGTGGCTATAATAACTTAATCAATTCTCTTTCTTAAATCCATTTGTTCCTTTTTTTCTTTCGATGTCTCACGTCTAATCAGCGGCCAAACCATTAATCAAACTATTTGGTCGGAGTCGGACCCCTCCATGATGTCACTGCAGATTTGAAAGCCATGGCCTGCAAGCTTACAAACCCACAAGTGGTCGTATAATACAGTGTCCCACATTAAATATTTGCCTTTTGCATTCACGTATTATTTGCCTACTTTTTGTGTCAAATTCAAGCCATCCACTCAAATCGAAATGTTTTCGATGCACAAGTAGTTTAGAGCAAACGGGTAATGATTGTACTGTTTGAGAGTTACAGTATATCCAACTGTTCCTACTTTGATGTCAATGTCAAATTACAGACACTTGCATTGCCAGTCAAAATAGTTGAAGTTTGCCGTAGTGATTTATCCATGGAAATTTGAGATGTCCCACAGATTGGGAGGCAATGACATGACTAGGAATCTAACAATCACTGCAATCCCCGTTGAAAACGAGCATCTGATGTTGATAGGCTGTTGTATGTGACTCAATCAAGTACCTGTAAAAAAAAAAAAATTATATAAGCATACTTACAGGGCAACAGCGAGGAACTTTCTGTTGGGTGTAAGCTGGTTTCCATAGTCCATCTGCTCCCGCCAAGTCGAGCCATTGTACTTCCCTTGATCTTCAGTAAATGGGTTTCCTTTCTTCCGGTGAAAGAAACGGCATGTCACCTGACAATATGGCCAATGCTGGTTTAACATCACAAATAAGCATATTGGTCATGCTTTGGGTTTGAAATGGTAACAATATATAAAGTTAAATCCCACATGATATAGAAAAAGAAATTGGTGATATTTTATATGCTATTCCCCTCTTGCCTTAGTATTAGTGGATGTGTTTTTGTATACACACGAGCTGCCTATTGGTTTGTTATTTGTGTCGTTGACACATATCGCACGCTTACAAATTTTTGAACAAAATGATCTTTTTAAAAGTTTTAAGTTTAAATAATTTTTTTTTAATATTTATAAATTGATCTTTTTGTGTGTATAAACTTTTTAATATTTGTTACTGAAATTATAAGAGCATTTTGATAATTGATTTCCAGTCGTTGTCTAGATTAATTATAGTAATTGATATGATCGTTAATTAATTGATTGAAAGTTGATAGAAGACAACTCATTAATGAAAATTAATAATATATATTTTTGATAATATTTAATCATTTCTTTGAGCCTATAAATAGCGAACATTTATGCTCACGTCAATCTATTCAAATACATTATCTTTTTATACACTTTTCTCTTAAATATTCTCTAATATTGCAAAATTGATCTTTCCATGTATGAACTTTTTATAATTGTTACTGAAATTATAAGAGCATTTTGATAATTGATTTTTAGTTGTTGTCTAGATAAATTATAGTAATTGATTTGATCGTTAATTAGTTGATTGAAAGCTGATAGAAGACAACTCATTAATCGAAATTAATAATATTTTTTTTACCGTTCTTAATCATCTCTTTGAGCCTATAAATAACAAACATTTATGCAAATCTATTCAAATACATTGGTTTCACCTCAATTTTTAGGTACATAAATTTTGAAGGACTATGTTAACTTAAGAGCCAGTGTCTATTATGTTAACCTCTAACGCAGTGTCTATTTTGAGGATTATATCAATCAGAATGATTTTATTTATAAAACAATAATGTTTTTACGACACATTTAAACTCTATTTTATCTGTATATATTTATTTCGTGTGGCTATATTTCGTTTTTACAATAATATTATTTCTAACACTTTGTACATAAATACAAAAAATGAAATCCAATTCAACATTTGACGATCAACAAAGAAAGAACAAAGGAGTCGTACGACGAAGTAAGACAGGTTGACGTTGGTCCAAGCCATGCCGGGAGAGCAACCAAAGATGGAGAGAATAAGGAGCCAAGCGAAGAAGAGGATAACTCCAGGATGCATAAACCAATCCGTGTTCCGGTTCAGATCCTCCAGTGGCTGCGTTTTCACGTAAGACACGTCATATATTTTCAAATACCTGGCAACAAAATTCCAGAGACTTTTATCTGTGAAAGGATGATGAAAAATGCTTCTCAACATGGTTTTACTCAAAGACTCATCTTTTTTCATGTACTTCCTCCGGTTTAAAAAAGGCTAATGCATTTGATAAATCAATGATACTCGAATTAATATCTCATCCATTGAATTTCTGTCAATTACTTTATGATAATCATCTTTGTAGGAGCCGAAAGAAGAAACACAAAAAGCTAATAACAATGCATTTTAACAAGCAACCACTGTCCCTTGCTTCATTTACTTCTTTGTTAAAAGCTGTTTCGGAGTACACAGCTTAATCTGCTTGAAAACGATGATAATATGCACTTATGAGCTATGACAGATAGGGAGAGACAATCACATATTGAGTTCAATAAAATACTGCATCATGTTACAATGTCATGAGTTGTCTGTTAGAAGCCTCATTTTCCTGAGCCGCTTCATCATGGGGCGCTGCCCAGCCGAGGTTCGCAGCCAAATCTTCCACGGCTACCTTTATCACATCGCTTCGAACGCCTATATCGGTCGCGTACCTGCTCATACAGTACATCCCAGCAGTGACCGTCGCCACACCTACAGGACTTGGCATCAACAGATTTAGTGGAGAAGAAATGAGAGCAGCCAAGGGGGCACTGATCACCGATGAAGCCTGACCACTTCTCCCGAACCCGAGTTTTTCCATAATCAGAAGACCAGTTTTGCAATACAGAGCAAAGTCCTCACAGTTATTCTGGAATATGTCGTAGTATCCAAATCCGTTTTGAAGAAGATACATTGCTCTGTGGATAACCGATCCAGGAGGGTCGGACACTGCTGTGGTGCATGTCCCTCCACGCACTTTGGCAAGGAAAACTGATGGGGTCACGCCGTACTCAAAGCAGTAGAGAGATCCATTCCGAAGGAAGCAATTCAGGCATGAGAGTACTACGCCACTGTTTGGCTGCCGAAAACCGCAATCAGGAAAGATCGGGCAAGCTGATTGGGGGGATATAGGATCATATAGCTCAGAAGATGACTCAATGCTGGAATCCAAGTTCCTTTCAGGTCTAAAGTGAACCACCTTGCTTCCACCAACAAAGATACCTACATGATTTGACATCCAACAAGCTCATAAGGTTAACAATCACAAAAGCAAGTATGACACAGGAAGCAGAAGCCGGAAATATGCTTTGGAATCTCAACAATCAGATAAAGACAGAAATCTAAAGATCGAAGGGATCTTGATAACGATGGTGACTTCAAAAGACATAATTCAGTTGAGGATGAAATGAGATTAACCATCAGTCTAACCAGTAACCACCAACAAGATGAACATCAATGGGATCACTAATATCAGCAAAAAGTTCAAGTTTTACACAGTTAAAGATATCACAATTGTAAAATAGAAAAAACACAACTAAATCTTTGTGCTAAAGATATCACGATTCGGATTGAAACTTCGATAACAACACCAACTCCTAACAACAAGAGCGAAGAGAACGAAAAACATCTAACAGTTTTCAAATAACCGTGGCAAGCTAGGAATTCTACTCAAAAGTTCTCGACGTGATTTACTAAATGCAGCTATCAAGCAACTATTTAACCCATATAAATCACTTTAGGATTGCCAATGAAAACACTCTCCAGCAGCTTAAGATAGAGACAACATAAGAATGGTGAAATTATAAAACCACTATTATCTCTCTTCTACTTTCAAGAAAAACTCCAAACGGCAGATCCAATATGGAAATAAAGGTTTTTTCTTTTGCTGATTTTCTTACACATCACATATTCCAATGGTGAAAAGGAGTAACTTTTACCGGTACTTTGCGAAGACCCAGGAACAATATCGGCACAAAAATAGTCAAAAGACCCAAAAACAAAACTCGCAGAGGGTAACATGGAAAATTATCGAACATGAGTCAAATTGACAAGAAAAAACCCAGAGAATCAGAAATAAATGCACAAATCAGAATGCAAATTGTTTACCGAGTCTTTACATTTCTGGGGTAACAAAGGATCGAAAGTCCAAATTGAAGTCAAAGGAGGAGAGAAAAGCTACCATGGTGAGAGTAGGTGAAAACAGCTCTGTAAGTGTAAATATGGTCTCCTGGTTTGATCTCATTCCTCTCTACCTTGTTTGAAAGCAGACCCATTTTTACCCTTCCCTGCGTCTTCTTCTTCTCCACGGCTCCTCTGCCTCTGACAATGTGGCTTAATCACGGTAGATCCCACATAATCAAAGCATTGTGGTTTAATCTTATTGGCTCACCGAATCAAGACCATATATCGGTTCCTTTTGTATTTATTTCTTTTTTAAAAGGTCACCATCATTATGGAATCACAATGATGAATAACACGTCCCTCTTGCTTTTTCCCTTTTTTTTTTCCAACTGCTGACTATGAAAGGGTAGTTTGGGATTTTAAACCCACCATTATGAGGCATCAAGGAAGTTTATCGAACTAAAGATTATGACTTGTGAGCATGTCAATGAAAGACGACAATCAAAAGCAAAGGGTTTCCCTGGCCCTGGGAAAAAGACAAGGAAACGACAAAGGGCTTTGGATTCCTTGATACATTACGAAGTTTCTTCATTCCTATACCTTTCCCAACCTTTTATATGTAAAAGATGATGTTTGCTTCAACCTTACATTTTGGTTATCCAATGAAGTAATTCAACTTTCTAGCATTCGCTTTACAAAAAGTCCAACAATGGTGTATCTTATAATACAACAATGATGACCTTGTCCCAGAGTTTCCACAATATGTCCCATCCTTGATAAGAAAATTCTTTGGGTTATGATGCCATAAAAAACAATCACGCATTCAGTACAATGGTATTGGTTGTCAGAAAGCATGAACTCCTATGATCTTAACTTGAAGTTCCAAAGATCATCATACAAACTCATACAAGGATGCATCAAAAGCTGGAGACTGTTGGAATTATATAAGCAATGGAGACATTGCCTCTTAACTGTTGCGGAAGACGGCTATCAGATAGAGCAAAATCGCAACCGATAATTTGAGAAAATAAAAATGAAGATAAAAAGAGACACAAAATTTACGTGAAAAATCCCTAAATAATATAGGGTAAAAACTACGGATAACGGTAGAAGAATTTTATTATGAGAAAATATGAATTACAACTTCTCTCGATCTACCAAGGAGAAAACAATGATAATTCTCTCTTAATAAATAGGAGAAAACAACTCTCAAGAAACTCTCTAAATTCTCTCTAGTATTGGAAGAAAGCTAGAATGCTTTGGGATGGTTTTGAAGCTAAATAAGCTAGGGTATTTATAATTGAAACTTAAGGACTAATTTGTAAATATCCTAAATTTTAGTGACTAAAGTTTGTAATTTGCCCTTACCAATTTCAACCAAAGTTGCAGCCAACTTTGAATTTAATTAGCTGCCGGCTGCCACCCCATTAAATCTTCCAATTTGCTGTTTTGACTTTCAACAATCTCCCACTTGAAGATTTGATTGGAACAATCATATCTTCACACCATTCTTTCTACCTTGTACCTTCATGTTGCTTATGTTTCTGACATTCCACAAGAGGATCGACACCAGGTAAATTTATCAGCGTTGATTGCCTTCGTCATGAAATCTGCTATGTTGTCTTTGGTATGGATCTTCTGCATATCTATCGTCCCTTCTTCCACCTTTTCACGAACTAAAAGGTATTGAACTCGTATGTGTTTTGTCCTTGAATGAAATGTTGGATTCCTTGCTAGATGCAAGACGCTTTGACTGTCACAAAACAGAGAGACATACTCTTGATTGTGCCCAAGCTCCTCCAATAACATCTTCAACCAAATTGCTTCTTTACTGGCTTGTGTAGCTGCTACATATTCTGCCTCTGTTGTGGATGTAGCCACAACTGATGTAATTTTGAAACCCAGCTTACAGCTCCACCAATAATTTTGAACACATATCTTGTAGTAGATTTGTTTTTATCCAAATCTCCTGCATAGTCAGAATCGACATACCCATTTATAAGTAAGTTTGATCCTCCGTAACATAATGCAACATTTGAGGTCCCTTTGATGTATCTAAGGATCCTCTTTACTGTATTCCAATGCTCTTTGCCTGGATTCACCATGTACCGACTAACCACTCCCACTGCTTGTGCAATGTCTGGTCTTGTGCATATCATAGCGAACATTAAACTTCCCACTGCTGATGCATACGGTACTCGAGACATCTTCATCCTCTCTTCTTCACTGCTAGGACTCATATTGGAGGATAATTTGAAGTTAATAGGAAGAGGGGTAGAAATTGGCTTACAATCTTGCATGCTGAATCTTGACAAGATCTTCTTCAAGTAATTCTTTTGTAAAAGCCAAATCTTCATATTACTTCTGTCTCGGTGAATTTGCATCCCTAGAATCTTGTTTGCTGATCCCAAGTCCTTCATTTCAAATTCCCTAGCCAGTTGTGCCTTCAATTCTTCAATATGATATTTGTTGGGTCCTGCAACCAACATGTCATCCATATACAACAACAATATAACAAAATTGTTATCACAAGACCTCTTGAAATAAGCACAAGGGTCTGCATTAAGTCTGTTGTATCCAGACCTCCATTATCTATTCTGAAACACTTGATCTTATTTCCAGAATCAAGTTCCACCCGCGCTTTGAAGTTTTCGAAAGTTGAGAACACATCTGACTTCTTCTTAATAGGGTACACCCAACATCTCCTGGAGTAGTCATCAATAAATGAGACAAAGTATTTTGCTCCACCTAGGGATATAACTGGTGCTTGCCATACGTCAGAGTGAACCAATTCTAGAACACTTTTGTCTCTAGAATTTGATGTGTTGAATTTCAACCGGTGCTGCTTACTTGTTATACAATGCTCACACAAAGGAAGTGATACCTTTGTTAAACCTGAAAGTAGCTTTTTCTCCACAAGGACTTTCATTCATTGTTCTGACATGTGTCCAAGTTTCTGATGCCATAGCATTGCAGAATCTGAACTACATGAGGCAACAGAGGCTTCTGCTTCTACCAAAGTCTCCTCCTTCAACATGTATAAGTTTGCTGCTATCTTTTCACCTTTCAGCACCACAAGCGCTCCACGGAACACCTTCATAATTCCTTTTCGTGTTTCAATCTTGCTTGCATTATTATCCAATAATCCGTAGGATAATAAATTTTTCTTCAAGCCTTTCACGTGTCACACATCTCGAACAACTTTAATTGTTCCATCATACATCTTCAATTTGATGGTTTCCACGCCAATGATCTCTAAGGCATGATCATTGCAACTATACACAGATCCTCCTGAGACAGGTTCATAATGATGGAACCATTCTCTTCTTGAGGTCATGTGATATGTTACTCCCGAATCAATGAGCCATATATCTGCAAATCTTTTCTGCCTTCCAGGGTGGTTGACGCTTCATAACATAGAGCATCTCCATCATCTGAAGTGTTTGCGGTATTGCCTTGTGGGTTGGAGTTTTTATTTAGACTCCAACAATCCTTCTTCAAGTGAGCATTCTTTCCACAGTTGTAGCACTTTAAATTCTTCTTGCTCCTCGACTTCGATCTACCATGTTTGTGACTGCTGCTTTGGCCACGTTCTGTTGATCTCCCTCTCATCGTTGTCAACGTTTCTGCTTGTTGCAGATTTACTTGTCTGTCTTCCTTGTTCTTGCACCGATTTTCTTCTTAGAGAACATCAGCTGCAACGTCATCGAAGACTAGACTGGTGACATTACTGTTTGTCAAGTTGATGATAAGTTGATTATCCGAATCAAGTAGACTTTGAAGTAGAAGTTCAACACGTTCTTGTTCTCCTATTGTACATCTTAAGGATGTAAGTCGAGAAAATAACGTGTTCAGTGTGTTTAAGTACTCCGTCACTGAAGTAGATTCTGACAATCTGAGAGTGTACAATTTCTTCTTAAGGAAAATTTTATTGTGTAGCAATGTGACCTCATACAATTTGGTGAGATGATCCCATATCTCCTTAGCTGTCTTCTTCTCCTCGATGCTTGACAATACTTCATCTGCTAATGCTAGATGAAAGTTTTCCATAACATTTCCGTCCATTTCGATCCATTTGTTGTCATCTGTGAAATCCACCGGCCTTTCACTGATAGCTGCTAGACAACCGTCTTTCCTCAGGATGACCTTCATCTTCAATTTCCACAATGAGAAATTTCTCCCATTGAATTTTTCAATATCAAATTTCGTTGCCATAGCTTCTTTTACGGATAGCTCCCACTATTTCACTATCGTGAATAGTTCTCTGGAACCTTCAAAGAATGGGTAATAACTTCTTACTTTCTTATGTTGGATGATCCACCTTTTGGTGGCAACCACAAAGACAATAAGTAGATATTACACACTCTAATCTGACTCGGATACCAATTGTTGCGGAAGACGGCTATCGGATAGAGCAAAATCGCAACCGATAATTTGAGAAAATAAAAATGAAGATAAAAAGAGACACAAAATTTACGTGAAAAACCCCTAAATAATATAGGGTAAAAACCACGGACAACGGTAGAAGAATTTCACTATGAGAAAATAGGAATTACAACTTCTCTCGATCTACCAAGGAGAAAACAATAATAATTCTCTCTTGATAAATAGGAGAAAACAACTCTCAAGAAATTATCTAAATTTTCTCTAGTATTGGAAGAAAACTAGAATGCTTTGGGATGGTTTTGAAGCTAAATAAGTTAGGGTATTTATAGTTGAAACTTAAGGACTAATTTGTAAATATCTTAAATTTTAGTGACTAAAGTTTGTAATTTGCCCTTACCAATTTCAACCAAAGTTGCAGCCAACTTTGAATTTAATTAGCCGCCGGCTGCCACCTCATTAATGCTTCCAATTTGCTGTTTTGACTTTCAACATTAACAGCTATTATTCCTTCCATCCCGTGTCAATCATTAGTGCATCCAATCAAGGTAATATATAAAAGGGGGAAAATAAAAGGAAAAAAACAGACTTTGGCGTCGCTCGGACTCAAACCGGAGACCTTCAATGTGTTAGACTGGTGTGATAACCAACTACACCACAACTCCATTTTCCAAATTATCAATTAAACTATAAGTACACTAATAAAAAAAGTACAATTGCTGTTCCGAAAAAGGTATCAAAAAGATCAATGGCGTCACCCGGACTTTAATCGGAAGCCTTCAAAGTGTTAGACTGACGTGATAACCAACGAAACCACAAAACCATGCGAGATTAACTCAATAAGTGTCCTTCATAATTTTACCAATTTATGTTAGAATTTTACTCTTTAAGCAATTCTTAAATCTTATGTCCGTTGTTTTAGAGACACTGCTCGAGAAGTTGACCTCTAATAAAATGCTGGATCATCTGAGGCTTCTGACTCAAAGTAAAACGGAATCTGTAAAACTATGGTTTTGATTAATATACAACTCTGAACAATATCTTATAATGGTGAATGCAACTGAAGAAGTAA